AGGGAAATGGGGAGGCAAAACAACTGTGGGATGGAGTTCCAAAGGGTGGGGGTAGAAAGGCTGAAGGCCAATGGAGTAGAGATGTTGAAATATATTGACTATCACTTTGGGATACAATTGTACATTTCAAACAGCAACCGAATGTTCCAGAAGGTTTGATAGTTAAATGGTTAAAAGTAGCTTTGCTGGATCGGCTGAGGTTAGCTTCTGATTACATTTCATATTTTCCTGGGAAGATGTTCACTCCTCTGAGATAATGAGCGATCGGTTCCTTGAGTATAGAGTTTATTGCCTAAGACGAAACATACGATTAATAATCTGTATTCAAATTATACTACATATAACAACACAATAACAACACAACAAATCTACGTGAGCAAAACATTTACCGCACAGCATGCACTGAGGGGTTGCTCAGTACTCCAGACAAATACACAGCAGAGATCAGCCCCTGGAAATCCCTCAGGGACAACTCCCTCAGGGAAATCCCTCTGGCCTGCTAAACGTCCCCTGCCTGGCCCGCCCCACTATTGGCCACTCTGCCCACACCCTCTGGAACTCTATCCCGCAGTCTCTCCACCTCGCCCCCTCTCTTGCCTCCTTCAGGACCCATCTCAAGACCCTCCTCTTCGACCGTGCCTTCGATCACCCTCCTTCCCTCCCAATCCCGACCCCCAGCTCGGGTCCAAAACACTGACTGTCCAGCGCCTTGGGACGTCCTCCTGACGTGAAAGGTGCTACACAAGTGTAATCTGTTGTTGTTGAGTATAGTTGTAAGAACAATGAATCGCAGAAGGAACGGCTGCAGCCTCAGACACCTGCCTATCTCAAGCCTGAGAAACAAGTAGGCTGTGGAAGGCTGCCCAGAAGTTGTCCATATTTCTCTCTGTGCAAAGCAGTCTGCGAAGGGTGGGGGCTATCTCTGTGACAAGGGGAGGTGGAGTTAGAAACACATAAAAGATGTAACTTTGGAATAGTTTGAATTGTGTAGAGGGTCAGAGCACTTCCCAGTGGAATCGATATCGATTCTACTATATCTATGTATGTGTACAGGAGTTAGGGAATTTACCTCCAGTAAGAAAGTGACCATCAGAAGTGAAAGAAGAGTAGTGGTCAGCAGCACGAGTGAGGTACTGGGTAAGAGCTGATTGTTTCTGTTGAGTTCCAGGAGCCAACCTCTGTGATTCTGTGTGATAGTTCTATGATTTTTCTATGTCAAGGTGTGACCCCAGATCTACTGTTTAGTCTGGAGTACGAAACAGTGCCTGGATACGTTTTGTCGTCGCTGTATCGTCAGTACTACTGTGGTTGTGTATGACTGGTTGGGTCCGAGGGTTTACTGGACGCCAGTCCCTGTTCTTACCAAGATATCATACGGAATGGATTCCTCTAGCTTGAGGCGTCTGTTACTTCAAGAAAGCTAACTGGT